GAGGTGTATAAACATCTCAGAGGACACTACTCGGCCTCAGAAGGGGTCACAGCTCAAGGTTGAAGAAGCCATAAGTCCAGAAAACTTTGAGGGCAAACTTTTTTCTTAGTGAGAGTTGTGAACTCTTGGAACAATCTACCAGAGAGTGTTGTGACGGCACCGAGTGAGAGCTATTTCAAGACCAGACTTGACCAACACTGGAGCAGGTTTAGGTACATTCAGGAGCCGGTGCAATCCCAGTACTTGCCAACAGTGCGTAACAGACCGACTGCCCAAGTGGCTAATGAACCGATAAGTGGTGAAGAGGATAAAAGAAAAAGTATAAAATGGAAACTAGAATGCACAGAACCTAATAGAACTTTACGTAACCAACTTAACTTAAAGTAACCTACTTAACCTCGGTATGAGCACCTGTAGGACTCTGTGACAGCCATATATCCAATCTTATCGCCGCCCTGGACATTTGTTGGGCACCATGGCACTTGTGTACCGTCAGCCAAAGATGCACCGACCCACCCTAGGTCTCGTGCTCGCAATTTTACCTGGCAATACTTGGTAAAGGAAGACTGTATGTAAAGGTGATGGTGATTGGTGGATTTTTTTTCGGCTGTATCACTGTTTGGATAAATATTAAACAAACCAAAGGCAACATTTTTATAATAATAAACTATTCATTGTTATTTAAGATCATGAGAAATTTCCAAATGTTTGTATATTTGCTTAAATAATTAAGAAAATTATAGAGAGAGAGAGAGAGAGTACAGTACAGTACAGTACGTCTGGCAGGGCTGTTAGTGGCCAGACACGTACAGTACAGCTCATGAAGTAATTGGTTGTTAAGAGTTGTAAGGTTATGAGATATAGTTCACGTAACACACTTGGAGTAGTCTTATTACGTCGAGAGGACAGCGTCATCAAAGCGTATTTATACGTTAACCGCTCGGCATTGCGCCTGTCTAGTCAGTCGTTCTCGTCATGATAATTTCACATCTGAGGTAAAATACTTTTTTGGTTGACTCCTACACTTGTTACACATGTTTCTGAGCAAGATACAGTTGAGTGTGTTGTAACCTACTCTCGAGTGTGTTGTGGCCTCCTCTCGAGCGTGTTGTGGCCTCCTCTCGAGCGTGTTGTGGCCTCCTCTCGAGCGTGTTGTGGCCTCCTCTCGGGCGTGTTGTGGCCTCCTCTCGGGCGTGTTGTGGCCTCCTCTCGGGCGTGTTGTGGCCTCCTCTCGAGTTGTGGCCTCCTCTCGTGTTGTGGCCTCCTCTCGGGCGTGTTGTGGCCTCACTTTCTGTTTATTTTATTCCGGAAACGATATTTCCTGTAATTCCCCGGAGTGATGCAATATAAGCGACCCACGTTCTTAAATAAACAGAATGTGGTCGTTTTCTCTCAACCTTCATCAGTATTTTCAATTGACTTAACGTAACCTAACATAACCTAACCTAACCATGTCATACTGGATACTGCGCTAGTATGTGTTCTGCACTAGAGACCTCAGTTCCCTACCTAGCAGGGGACTGACAGTGTCCGGATGCTGTTATTGGGAGTGTGACGGTCAGGTACAATACATAGCTCGCCTCCTGTCCAAAGGGTCGCTGGATCACCTCAAAGGGACTTCCAACTCACCAGCTGTAAATGGACACCGAACTTCACAGGGCTACGGGAATCACTTTTACTTTTCTCTGCCTCAAAATGTGAGTGTTGTCTGGTGAAGAGAAATGAAGAGATGGTGATGGCAAAAGCAAATCTAAGTTGTGTAACATAAATTCCCGTTTTTAAATACAGTATTATGTTTTGTGTTTCAAGTTACCCAGTTAAATATAGTGTTTACATATACAGGCATGAGGATTATTATTATTATTATTATTATTATATTATTATTATTATTATTATTATTATTATTATTAGTAGTAGTAGTAGTAGTAGTAGTAGTAGTAGTAGTAGTAGTAGTAGTAGTAGTAGTAGAAAGAAGAGAAATAGCAATAACAGTATCAGATGTAAGGCAGAACTAGAATATTACTGGCAGGAGACTCAAGTGCCCGGATCAGTCATTCTTAGAGAGAGAGAGAGAGAGAGAGAGAGAGAGAGAGAGACCTTATACCTCTTCTTCCTTAGGGCTTAGTGACAGTAAACACCGTAACTGTAAAGACTTATTACGTCAGTATTATTAAACAACATCTTCCCTTGAAGAGGGTCGTCATGTTTCAACCCGAGTTTTAAACTAAATGAGTCCTGAGGGACACCGCAGTACAGTACTTAACTGGGTGTAACTACTCACCTGTACTATGAGTTATGATTCCAACACTTCCTTCCTAACACTATCTGAAGGTGATCTATAGAGACCTTGGGGGATCAGGCTAAGACCTACCGGGTCATTGATGTCCCACTACCCTGAGTGTTGCTAGGTGAGAGAACACACACACACACCAACGTGGTGTAGTAGTTCCCTCACCATCTGTGAGGGAACTACTACACCACGTGAGGCCCCTCATAACACCATCTGTGAGGGAACTACTACACCACGTGAGGCCCCTCATAACACCATCTGTGAGGGAACTACTACACCACGTCAGGCCCCTCATAACACCATCTGTGAGGGAGTTACTACACCACGTGTCTGCTGTTCAACACCTCAGCACACAAGATCTACGTGACCTCCACTGTAAACATTAATCTGTATGTTCACTGAATGTTCCTTTACCTTTCTCTAATGAAGGCTTTTGTTAAACCACCAATGTATGTAATAAGTCATTTATGTCCACTGTATATTTTCAGCCTTCGGGCTGCAGAACTTTTTCAATAAACCGTTAATTATTATTATTATTTATTATTACACAGTAGTCTTAATTAAATTGCTTTTATTCTATGTGAAGTGGAAAAAAAAGAATATATTACAGCTTTGATGAGTCCTGATCCCATATATTATAGTTGTTTAGCTGGAACTATAATACTAAGCTCGAGGAAGTGTGTCTAGCAGTACCGAGGCAGCACAACGAACCCTAAGACTCTGGTACACAGGGAGGCTAGGTGGCCCGGCAGAGCACTTCACCCCCTCAAGCTGTGTAACTACGGTAAGATCCTATTTCCTGTTTACAGCTGAGAGAACTAGGGCGCCACCCTGAGCAGCCACCACCGACCTTCAGGATATAATGTGAAAACTTTATTCACTCGACCGCCACACTACACATAAGATTGATAAGTTATTTGCATATTTTTTTTCAGTTGAATTGGAAACCGTATATAAGACTGGTAAATATATACAGAGTCAGATAGATGGAATTTTATTAGAGTTTTATTACTTATATATATATATATATATATATATATATATATATATATATATATATATATATATATATATAAGCTTTGGGTAGAGCTCCCTTTCAACTTGGCTTATATATAGATAAGTCGACATCCAACAAAGTTATATCGCAGCCTATTTGCGATTATACAAACTAACGTTCGCAGAGTGCTGAAACAATGTGAAATATAACAGAGTCTAGGACTGCTTTTAGTATCCTGGTGGTCTAAACTCTGGAGGTAGCGTTTCCGGGTCACAGTCGTGGGCCGTGGGTTCGAATCCTGGTGGGGTGAGGTGTTGATTATATGTCACTTTGCGATGCCAAGATGGTGATAACCAATTAGTTGTGAAAGGTTATTATAAGGCTCCGGATTACTGTGCAATAACCTGTAGTTCGTTGAAAACCTTGCCTTCCCATCATCATTTTGCATTGAATTTAAATCTCACTTTGGAAATGATTCCATTGTACCAAGTTTCTATTTTGACTCAGTGAACTCAATCTTATGTTAGATAAATTTAATATTTATTTCTTACCTGAAAGAGTCACATTTTACTAATATAGAAGATAAACTGCTATTTTAATTTGTTTTTCACAGGATTTGTTATACCCAGTTTAACCATTCCCACTATTGTGTAATATTGGCAGTAATATTTTTTGTTTTGCTCCTAGAGATCAATATCATTTCAATTTACCATTGCACATAATATACTATTCTGTAAGGCACTTATGGTGAGGACCCTAGTATATGCTGAACCCCAGGTTGCAGTTGCTTCAGTTTAATGTTTTCACACATATGTATGTAACATGGATAGGCTTATGTATAGTTTTTTGTTTTCCTCTGCGCGAAGCTAATTCCTCGTAGAAGCTTGGAAGGTGGTGACCAAGAGATGTATTAGCCCCTGTCTCATGGCAATAACAATTATATAAATTTGGGTTAATGCATTTAGTTTATATAATACAATCACCCTACGGTAATTTTCCATAAGCTGTGAGTTGCCATGTGCTGCTCACGTAAGGGGAAATTCCTCTATCAGTAGGCCGACCTTGAGAATGTAGGGTTAGCCCGGCTTCTACTTCAGAGGACCTCTCCCTCACAGGCATCTCCCCTCAGACCAGCCAGTCTACACTTGAGCCTCACGAGAATCGGACGGGTGACTTAACTCAGTCAAGCTGAGCCCTGTCCTTAACTAACACTCACAGCTTACAGTTAATTACGGTGCATCTACTCATAGCCTGTGACCCCTTTTTAATTTACCAATAAATGGAGAAAGACCATTTAGGTTTGTAACTTAGCCCCTTAACTTATTTATATATAAGCCAAGTTGACAGGGATCTCTACCCGAAGTTTAGACATGTATGTGTGTGTTGTGTGTGTGTATTATTGCATTATATGTATATTACAATTATTTTCCCCATATTTCAGAAAGGAGTGAGATACAGTGCAGTATCTGACCTAAAAGAGACCTTGTCCTAACGCTATCCTTTATAGAAGTTACATTAAATTTAAGGCATTTTATATAGGTCATAAACAAAGGTTGAAGCTGAGGAAGTTTGAGAAATAGACAAGTTCTGGGGTGGTACTGAACCTGTTTATTGTCGTTGTTGTACGAGAATGAAACTGATCTCAACAGTCAGTCACTTGAGGGTTGTGGTTAAGGTTCTAAGTCATGCAAGGATGATGAAAACTACGTCTAGTTAACTATATAGCTTTATTTACATGCAAGTAAATGATTGGAGAGTTTTAGAAAGAAAACATCATTTATACTTGAAACTTGAACGTCAATATATTACAACAGTCTTACAGGGGATGGTCTTCCTCACTTGGTAGTTTATTTACTTATTTATTTATTCATCTGCTATGAAAATATCTTCCAATACAAAATAGTATTTCACAAGATAGACTCCAAACATGATAATGAACAAGGTCTAACAGAAATGGCACAAGTTATCGCACCGAGGTCTGGGTCTCTTTGGTTCACTTGTGGTGGTGTTGGTAGGTGGTGAGCAGACACCAGCAGTGGCACCATTGTCAGCAACAACAGCAGCAGCAGCTAATTCTCCTGACTCATGTGAATACTACTGTGCCTATACTGCTGTTCGGCCTCCTGCTGCCACTACTACTACTACTGCCTCTTCTTCATCGCCTACTGCTTGCTACTGTCTGCTGCTGCTGTTGCTGGTGGGTGGGTAGAGAGCAGCACCACAACAACAGCAGCAACATAAACAATGATTCCCCTTTATTTACTACTCCGCAACTATTATTGCTGGTGGTTGGCCTCGTGCTGCTATTGTTACTACTACCATTCTTTTTGCCTCGTCGCCTACTGCTTGCTGCCTGCCACTACCTGACACGTTCACCACAACTACGGACGCAAAGCTCAGACGGAGTAATCTTAGTTGTATCGTCGCCCGTAAGCCGGATCCCTTATATAGCCTGCAGTCTTTTGATGATTTACATAAGTTTGAGGTATCTTAGTCTATGTTACACAGACACGTGATGTTTAGGGTGGCAACAACTGCCCCGTCGCTCCAGACAACTATCATCCTCAGTACACACTACCAACCCAGGTCACGACGCCTCAGACACAACAGGGCTCGTTCATCCACTATGCGATCTACTGTAGATTTGTCAGAAACGGGTTCATTTGTCCACTACGTCTTCCAGATCAGAGTGGTTCATTTGGTATTTGGTACTTGAGGATCATAGCTGCCTTCACGATCATCACAATTGTTTACATAATTCACAAAGATCAGGGTTTTGGGGTTAGGCCAGTCAGCGCTTCCTAAGACTGACAGGAAGCCCCAAAGCACACCTTAGCCCGCCTTACGTCCCGAGTATATGTAGATACACACACACGTTGGGACACAATGACGCGACAGTAGAAATACATGATACTGTAGTTCAGAAACCTAGCTCACTCATCATCTATGATTCGTTGCACATAATGTCTTTCATGTTTTGGGCGAAGATAATGAGTCCACATACCCAAGGAATATTTAGAATAGACGAAGTGACTTAAAACTTAAGAATGACTCTGAAGAACTTGACGGACTTGTTTCTTTTTGGATAAAAGTGTTTGACTGATGCAGATATACAGAATGTTTAAATATTCCATTGATGATTGTGTTTTCAACCCCTTGAGGTCGTTACACATTCAACATATTTTTCATCTTTTCTTCACATAACAGAATTCTTTAACATATCTGTTGTGAATTAAACTTGATGGTATATTGTATAGAGTACTTCATGGTTGGCCGTGATATTTCCTTTACAGTCTACCTGTAAAACAGAACATGTGTTGAAGAACCAAGTTGTGTGCAGAAGAACCCACGAATCCTGTGTAATGTGTTAAAAAAAGTACTGAAAGGTGTATCCGGAGTTATTCTGGGTAAGTGATGACGTTCGTGGGGGCAGTGGGACTACAGACCATTGCTAACTAAGTCTTTCTTTGGTACACAGAGAAGCATCGTAGCTGGCACTGCACTCGATCACCTTCACTTCCCCAAACTGTAAAGTTAGGTGGCCCTTTATAGCTGTGTGAACTGGGGCTGCACAAACGTAAACAGTGACCCTAAGGAAAGGAGGCGAGTGCTCGACCACCGCCCCCCCTCGATCACTTACGTGCTCTTCAAACAATAACATGATAGAGAACATACTCATAATAATGATGAATAAATAACTTCCTCAAGAGACTCTGTAAACACAACCATATAGAAACTTTCCTCACCTCCTGTACACATGTGGGCTACGTATACGTTTATCTACATGAAGCAACATCTCACACATTTGGACTAAACACCGTGATAATACATTTGTGCGATGTGGCAAAAAAAAAACTGTCTTTTTTTTATAATATCGCTAATATGGGTCTTAAGGTTACTGCTAGACGGGTCATTATTGCCTTTACTGTACATTAAGAAATTTGTTTTGTCTGTACATTAGAAAGATTGGTTTGTTTTACTGCTTATCAGGACAACCGTCGATGGTAGCTTGTTGTGTCCTGTTTATGTAGACTGCTGGCCGGGTACAACACCAGCTGGCCAGGTACAACACCAGCAGGCCAGGTACAACACCGGCCGGCCAGGTACAACACCGACCGGCCAGGTACAACATCGGCCGGCCAGGTACAACATCAGCCAGCCAGGTACAACACCGACCGGCCAGGTACAACACCAGCCGGCCAGGTACAACACCGGCCGGCCAGGTACAACACCGGCCGGCCAGGTACAACACCGGCCGGCCAGGTACAACACCGGCCGGCCAGGTACAACACCGGCCGGCCAGGTACAGCATCGGCCGGCCAGGTACAACATCGGCCGGCCAGGTACAACATCGGCCGGCCAGGTACAACACCGGCCGGCCAGGTACAACATCGGCCGGCCAGGTACAACATCGGCCGGCCAGGTACAACATCGGCCGGCCAGGTACAACAAGGGTGTATCAGCAGACATAACATTTACTCCTGGCCTGACCCTTGCAGACTTCGCTGGACCTGGCCTGACCCCTGCAGACTTCGCTGGACCTGGCCTGACCCCTGCAGACTTCGCTGGACCTGGCCTGACCCCTGCAGACTTCGCTGGACCTGGCCTGACCCCTGCAGACTTCGCTGGACCTGGCCTGACCCTGCTGCTGGACCTGGCCTGACCCCTGCAGACTTCGCTGGACCTGGCCTGACCCCTGCAGACTTCGCTGGACCTGGCCTGACCCCTGCAGACTTCGCTGGACCTGGCCTGACCCCTGCAGACTTCGCTGGACCTGGCCTGACCTGCTTTGGTAGGACCTGAGCAGTAGTTAAACATTGACTTGGTCTTGTTTGACTTCTCCTGACCTGGGCTGACCTGGCTTCTCCTGACCTGGTTTCACCTGACCTGGCTTCACCTGACCTGGCTTCACCTGACCTGGCTTCACCTGACCTGGCTTCACCTGACCTGGCTTCACCTGACACACCCACATTAACTCTCTCACTTGCATCAGTTACCTCACGTATAAACATCACATTTCAGTTGTCGACATTTTAAAGAATAATTATAAAATATTTTTTTTTCGACCCCCAAAAACAATTACTAATAACCAAAATCAAACAACGTACTCAATATGTATGTATATTATATATATATTACACATATATATATATATATATATATATATATATATATATATATATATATATATATATATATATATATATATATATATATATATATATATATACAGTATAGATAAAAGAACTACAGTGATTTGTCATTTAACAATTAACAATTAAATCGTTTTAAATCTACAACTAGTCAGAAAAAGGCGGCTGATCTCTGGCGTTATTAATAATACTTATTTTAATATATCTACAGCGAAGGTTTTTTATTTTCTCAACACTACGTACAGGGACCCTGATGTGCCCCCCTTCCTCCTCCTCGTGCTCCTCTCCCCTCTCACTCATCCTCTCCTCTCCACTCTTTGAGCTGTCTGGAGGGAGGGGTGTGAGATGAGTAGAGAGAGAGAGACAGAGAGAGAGAGAGGTAGAGAGTGAGGCACGCTTGGGTTCTTGCAGCACAACCACTGGCAACACACCAATCTTGTCTGGCGGTAGTTCTAGGGGCCTCTAGGCAAATAAAAACATTCAAATACGTATTACTTTTCTTCTTCTTTTTACATAAACTAAGGAGCGTTCTGTCATACAATTTTTAATAGGTTTTTTGCACCGATGAGTATCAAAAGAAATCAATGAAAAACATAAGGTTTATATTACTAACAGACGAAGCGAGACCGACTCAGTATGTTTAAGGGGGCAGCAACCTGGAGGCGTAATGTTGCGTGCTGATTATTTAGTTTTCTGTGTGTGTGTGTGTCTCTCTCTCTTTAAGGGGTTACTATGGACGCCTCCACTACCAGCTAACATGTTGAGGGGGAGGAGGAGAAGAGAAATCAGTAACAGGAAGAAAAGAAGTAAAGAAGGGAGGCAGAAAGGATGGAGAGGAAAGAGAATTAGGAGGCTTAAAAATGAAGGGTACCGGAAAAAGCTTGGAATGGGGAACTACTGAGAAGGAAGAAAGGAAGGAAGGAAGGAAGGAAGAAAAACAGCCGATAACAAACAAATGCTATTCAACTAAGGCTTGGGTGGGGAAGGGGGCGTGTCTTTAAACTATGGTGAGGAAGGAATGAAGAGGAAGATAATGGACAGAATTAAGAGATTAGGGGGGACAGATAAATAAGGGGGCTAGGGGGCTAGTAGACCCCCCTAAGGACGGCAGCTAGGGCGGCGGCAAGTGGGAGAAGGATGGCAGCGGCAGCAGCAGATGGCACGGTGGCGGCGTTGCAGCCGTCCTCGTTACAGGCACACACCCAGGAGCGTGTGTTGTAGCCGCTCTTGTAGTAACAGTCATTTTCTGATGACTCTTCTGACACCTCGTACCCACAGTCACGGTGGACGCGGTTCTCTGCTGGATGATCTGAAACACAGGTGCCAGTCAGGGCCATACAGTCAGTGTGTGTGTGTGTGTGTGTGTGCTGTGTGTGTGTGTGTGTGTGCTGTCTATGTGTGTAATAATAATAATAATAATAATAATAATTAACGGTTTATTGAAAGAGCTTGGCAGCCAGAAGGCTGAAAATATACAGTTACATATTTGGGGAATGGGTTACGAATTACAAATAATATACAAGTAACATAAGTGATACAAATACGATATATAATAACTAGATGGGGAAAAGCTCAAACTACAGTGCATTTCAACATAGTGACAGTGCAAGAAGTAGTATTTACTGGGAGTGAATACACTGGTTTATTACAAGTTATTGATAATTTTTACAATGGTTGGGACTGGGCTGTTCTTATAGCGATCAGTTCGTGCACGTATGGGCTGGATGCGGTTGTGGTGTCGAACAGCAATTCTCGGGCTAGGGATCTCAGGCGGTAGTAGGAGCCGGTGTCGAGGATGGTGTAGAAGCTTCTTACCAAATTTGCAGATGAGGTCGTGGTGATGGTCAGTGAGAGTCGAAAGGGTGTGTGTGTGTGTGTAATAAATCTCATGATATATTCTTGAGCCAAAAGTAGTATGATCAAGACAAACTGTGAGCTACACCACACTACAGTAAAGTGAAACTCCTATAGATGTGTTCACCTTTTATGCAAATACACAGCGTTATACATTGTCTTCATTAATGTTCAAAATTCTTTCGTACTTCTTAATTACCACAGCAACTGACTGGTGATCCGTAAAGGCGTTTCCTTGAGCAGATTTTGTCAGTGCTGCCTGAAGAAGTGCCAATCAGAACTCGACGACTATTGTGGCTCATCCAGGAGCTCATTCCTCCCGTCTTACAAGGGAATGTGTCGCTATAACGTGTCCTGAAGGGGGAGGTGAATAAGACGCAGTGGTCCTGTTCCTCCCCCATCTCCACCACCAGACCTAAATTCTCTTGATAACATCTTGCGAGTCCCTTAAAAAGACCAGTTTATGCTACAGCAGTCCATCACGTGATACACTGTGGCAACGACAACTGTAAACTCCACCCAACACTCCAGTGGATCTGACTCTCACTCATCACTGGTGTTACGTGTTGAGTCGTGGAGTTGGAAGGAATTCTGAACACATAACTTTACCACATAATAAATGTATCACTCTGTGTATTTGCATAAAAGGTAAAAAAAAATAACAAATAAATAAAAAATCTAAAAGAATTATATTTTTCTATGATGTATTTTAGTTCACAGACCCCAATGACACTGAACGGGTTTCTTGATCTCTGTATATAGATTATTAAGTTTACGTGGTCTTGTAACTGAGGAAATCATAGCACCGGAATCTTAACGTAGAAGACAACAACACAAAAAAACTAGAACACTTTATATGTCGACCTGCTGAAGAGGTTTGTGGGTTATAGTCGACATATACAATAGAGTCGTTTATCTATGACTTGTTCTTCTCCTACGGTGAGTTGTCAGTGTGGTGGTACTGTTATTTTTTCCCTTAACTTTGTTTGGGATTTGAGAAACACATTGGAGTCACCTTGTATAAACAGGTTAAATTGTAGTGATGTTTTTATTTTTGTGCTTCTCTCTTTCCCAAAATAGGTCCAGATGGTGATGGATATTTTCAAAACGTATTTTATTTCAGCTTTACATAAGATTAATTAATATAACAAAACTGTGTTACTTTGTGGTTAATAATTATATAAGAAAATTAATGAATACATATGGACAAAACTAATAATAATGATTAATTATTGTTTATTAGCCGAATTAAACTGTTCTTCGGGGATATACATACCTCACCCATAATAAGCTGCCATCAGTCAGGTCACAAAAGACGGCCAATTTGTCCACTTAACTTAACCTAACCTAACCCACATTAAATTTATACAGAATCTTCAGTAATGGATTAATTTTGGGGGATGTGTAAATTGACATAACACATACGAGACACATAGAGTTGGGTAATAGAATTTGTTCTTATTGATAACATTTAAGATACTATGTAGCTGGGTACCTTAACTATGATATATTATCTGGTAAATAATTAATGCAGCAACTAGAATTAATGTGAAAAATATGCGTAAATACATTCATATAAAATTAACAAACACATATTAAAGCGGACACACACTCTCTCTCTCTCTGCCCTTCCATACACACAAAAAAATACTTACCCATAATCGCATACAATAAATACACATAACCACCCCACCCACTGTATATTTACTGTGTGTGTATGTGTATATGTGTGTGTATGTGTATGTGTGTGTGTGTGTGTGTGTGTGTGTGTGTGTGTGTGTGTGTGTGTGTAAGACTCACGTTTGCCAAAGTCCATATCAAGATATATGTCCAGCTTCCGGCAGAGGGTATACTTCTCGCCGTCTGGTTTGTCGCCACATTCGACCAGATACTCGGAAGCCTTGTCAGTGGTGAGGCCCTTACAGTCTGGTTTATCGTGACTGTTGCACTGGTAACACTTCAGAGACCATCCTGTAAGGTAAAAAGAGGCATTATCAGTCTTTGTTCTTTGGGTTATAGTAGAACACAATATAAAGAACAGTCTTTATTAGTCTTTCACCCATGTATTAACCCCTTCATCATATACAGAGTGATGAAAGTTTTAATTGTGGAAGTCTTTATGGTCTTTTAATCTTAGTTTTTATTATAGTTCAGAGGTTATGAAGGTCAGTTGGGGTATTCAAGTCTTTTTTGCTATCTAAAATATCCTCCTCTTTAGTCTTAGTCTTTTAATTCACACTCATACACAACGAGCCTTCATTTGTTGTATACATGAGATGTACATAAACAGAGTTGTGTTTTTCATAGTTTTATCTGTTTAATGTCGTTTGGTCTTAAGTCTTAATCAAACAGCACGAATCTTATCCTTAACTCTCTGGAACACAAGGTGGAAGTCTTAGTAATACTTCCTAAGCAACACAAATTGAAAGTCTTGATCATTTACTCGTATTAAACATTAACTTAAGGTCTTTTAACGTTATCTGTGTAATTAAGATAACTTTTTGTTCTCTCTGTTCCTCTATATACAGAGTCATCCAAAAAGAACAGCCTGATATGGTTAAATATTAAAAATCGAGGCATTCTTTATCCATGACACTGTATGATAACGGAAGGAAAGGTTTTATTTTGTGACGACATAAATTACACTTAAGGCTGAGTGCCACAGAGACAAGTACAGGAGATGATCCTCGGGGTGAAGACACTTGTATAGAGATAAGGTGATAAGATACTTTGAATTAAACTAAAGGTTTTATAAGGCACCATTGTGTGTTTCATCTCGGCACACCTCTGTCAAAGTGGAGTGTTGATAACGGTGAAGTAGACGACCAGCGGCAAGTGTCACCTATATGAACAAACAGGTTAACGACCAGGGACAGTGTTAACAACTTCAATAAAACCTTCTTTCAACGCTGAGTCATCCTCCCACGTACCTATCAATATTATCAATTAATATACACAAAAAAAAGTATTAGCATATTTGGTTATACTGTAAGTTTACTCGACATTCACAGGGTATAATGTGTAGCAAAGTTACCTGAAGATTTTGGTCATGACTCAGTTAAAGTGACTGTTTCGTAAGATCAGTCTGGCAACGTTTGGAGCTCTCTCTCTCTCTCTCTCTCTCTCTCTCTCACACACACACTACAACAACGATATATGGGCAGACGTCCACATCACCTGTAATAATAAAAGTTCGTATCTCTTCCAGGGTGAAAAATATGATATAGATGATTAAGGTAATATAAGAAATGGTGTATATACATATGGGTGTGTACGTCAGTGTGTGTACCACCACCACCACCATCACCACCATCATCACCACCACCATCACCACCACCACCACCACCATCACCACCACCACCATCACCACCACCACCACCACCATCACCACCACCACCACCATCATCATCACCACCACCACCATCATCACCACCCACCACCATCACCACCACCACCACCACCACCATCACCATCATCATCATCACCACCATCATCACCACCATCATCACCACCACCACCACCATCATCACCACCACCATCATCACCACCACCACCACCACCATCACCACCATCATCACCACCATCATCACCGTGTCTCCAACCATCTCTTAGTAAGTCTTTCCCCTGAGCATTGTCTTATGCAGTGGGAGGCATAAAGGTTCTCTGTATTAATAAATATCAAGCCAGAATGAACTTCCTTCCATAATGACAAACATTCACTTCAATTTTACTTTCATTCATTATCTCTAACTTTACGAGGATTCTTTTTGTTATTATCTGTTCCATCTTATATAAACAGGGATGACTATCAATCCCTCACTGGCAGAGTTAAACAATGGTAAGAAACAAAAGAGATCCTCACGCTTATAAAACATCCATTAGTCAGGTCAAACTTGGAGGGAAATGGGCTGACTAAACAGATCTAACACTGAGTAAAGCAACACGCTAGAATAGTTACCTAGATTCCTCTCTGAGTTAACACGATTGTCAGCTAAGTTTGTTCGACTTGATGGATACATATTTTTTTCTCTTAAGATCATATGTGTGTGAGTGGGTGTGTGTGGGTGTGTGTGGGTGGGTGTGTGGGTGGACATAAAGGTTAAATGTACAAGAGTTTCACGAATATGCAGAACAAATTATAACAGTAACACTAAAATGCGGGATCCGGCTTATGGACAGCCAGGGGCACCAGGTGTGTGTGTGTGTGACGGGAAGAGAGAGAGAGAGAGAGAGAGGGAAGGGGGGGGTGGTGTGGCTACCTGGCTGTGATTACACACGCCATATTCACCACCACACTCACCTGAAGCTAAGAGTGACTCACATGGTTCGTGTTTTGTGCCTCGGGGTATCCTTATATCATCTGGCTGTGTAACTATTTATCTGATCTTTCTTCTTTCTTTATATAATACAACTTTTAACATCAACTGTGTAAGTAATGATAATAAAAAAGGCGGCAGAAAGAATGATAACATTATGGAGATAGTTAATGTGATAGTGAAGATAATAATAAAAATAATGATGATAATAATATTAGTTATGATGGTAGTAGTATAGTAGCAGTAGTATTAGCAGTAGAAGTGGTAGTTATGGTGGTGGTAGTAGTAGTATAGTAAGGTAATAACATTATAACAACAAAACACTCCGTCCTCTAGATCAGGGACTCTTGATGCTAAGGTTCAGTGAAAACTCTCCACCTAACTCCGGCACAAAGGTCACCTGTAGCATTACCCCCAAGACAAGGAGGAATTATCATCACTAAGGAGGTCGCTGCCACTGAGCATCAACTCTATCACACACACGGCAGCCCTCACCGAGTGCATAGTGGATTAGAATGCTGCAAGTGAAGGAGACACCACGAATTATGCAAGATCCGATGTGAAGAACTTAATAAAACTGACGCAACAGCTGCCTGTGATCATGAAGAGGAAAGTAGAGGTAGCACATAGGTGGACGCCTCAAACTGGCTGACAACTTTACCGATAAGACCAAAGGGCTTCAGCCTTAACAAACAAGAATTCTCAGATGTCTAGTAGCCAGTGTTCGCTGATGACATTTCATAAACACTTAAAAGACATTAATGAGTTGCTGTCAGTATTATGTTTTATAGATGATAATTTTGTACGTAAAATATGTTGTTAACCACATTAATAAAGGTCAGAGGTCAGGTCAGAGGTCAGGTTGATTTGTTTAATATCGTTTTCTGTGACTTCTTGTTAAAGGGACACTTTTTACACGGTCGCGTCTCGTTCCATCTTGTCAACTTAACACGAAGTTTGGTGATTAGATTCTTCCATTTTTATAACTCAGTTTATTTTGGCGATTGTTTTAATAATTTATGTCATCGTTTCATTATGTTCTTCATCTAATTTTTTCTCGTCCTTCATCTGTCTACCTCATTTACCGCCTTTTTTCCTTTTCCTCTGTTTAATGTCTCTCTCTCTCTCTCTCTCTCTCTTCTATTCCTCTTCCTCCTCTCCTCTGTCTCATTTAGTTATCTGTTCTCTTCTCTACTCTCTTACTTTATTCTTCCCTTTCTCTCCACACATTTCCCCACCAACGCCTCCCCCCTCTCCCCCCCCCCACACACACTTCCCTCCCTTTTCGTTCATGTCATCTCTTTCTCCTTCCTCCTCCCATCCTCCTCTCCTCCTTTTTTTTCATGGCATCTTTCCCCCACTCCTCCTGTTTTTCCCTCTTTACTGTCACCTCTTTCACCCTCTCTCTTCCTCTCCCTTTCCCTTTTCCATCCTCCTCACCTCCCTTCTTCCCTCTCTGCTTAATTATGGATCCTCTTACAGAAAGACGCTTACTGCTCCGCCCAGTTTAAAGTTGACTGCTCCAGAACGCTGTAAAACCTGCTGCTGTGTCTGCTGTTGCTGCTGCTGCTGTGTCTGCTGTTGCTGCTGCTGCTGTGTCTGCTGTTGCTGCTGCTGTGTCTGCTGTTGCTGCTGCTGTGTCTGCTGTTGCTGCTGCTGTGTCTGCTGTTGCTGAATCACGCTGTTGTTGCGGTCGAATATTTCTGTTGTCTTCATCCATGTTGTTGTGTTGTAGATGGTGTTGTTGTTCCTGGGAGTTGTTGTGTTACTTGTTACTGCTTCTCCTTGTGTTGTTGACGTGGTTGTGTTCCATTTTGTAGTGTCATGTGTTGTTACTCTCTGCTAGTGCTATTACTATTATTCCCGTGAGAGTAAGTGGGTTGTTTAACACTACTTTCGATTGCTTTCACTCTCCCAGCTACAATCAGGTACATTTTCTGAGTTGGGTCGACTAAGGGTGCCCGGGAATAAGAAGAGAGCGTTGTATCCAAGACCAAATGCATGAATAAGACGTCAAACTACACGAGACAGAGTCAACCCTCCCCCCCTCACACCCTGCAGCCATCTCAAAAATTAATGAAAAGGTGACAGTCAAACAGTAAACGGAAAATGACATCTTCGAGGCCTTTGTTGATATTATGAACTATAGCTAGTCATCGTCTGGGAGATATATGGAAAATGAGTGAAAATTAAATCATAAATAGGGAGAATTTCTCTTAAAGTAAATTCTGCTTAATATGAGAACTCCAGAAGAGAGAATCATATAAGATAGAATTTTACTAAAAAGAGAATTTAATATCTGAGAGAAGTCCAGATAGGAAAGATGCCATTGAGTTAAGAATTCCATTTAAAATAATCATATTCAACTGAGAATCCCATTTTCTGTAAAAGGGAGTTTGCTTTAAAGATAACGTCACCTGATAAAGAAAAGGGATTTAGAAAGGGAATTCCCTTTTTTGAGAAACAGAATTCCCTTTCTGTTGAAGAGAAAATTCCATTATGAATGAATTTTTTGAGAGAGAGAATGTGATCTAATGAAGAAAAATGGAATATATTAAAAAAAATATATCCATTTCGGTGGGAAAAATCAATTAGACGAGACTATCATTTAAGAAACACAGATTTGAGATGATAAATTCTATCTCAAAGGGAATT